GATTTCATCTCAAGAAATGTATCATTTGTCGAATCATTTCCTATAGAAAGTGATTTTGATGTCATCTTTTGTCTTATAAGTTAAAAGATGACAAAATATTTTGAAAAGCGTCATCAAAATGTCGATAAAGCGATAACAATAGCTCTGACTAACTATCTAAAGGAAGTGAAGGAAAAGTGCATATAGCTAAAAGGCGAGTCAGTCTCAGTAAGAATAATCATTTGTTTTTTGCATATTAGTGGCATTTGAGTTCGATATTGGTTCAAAAGATGGTTCTATCTATATATGTGAAAAAGTTTTCTGTTCAAACGCTCCTACTTTGCTCAAGGTAGAAAGAGGCTGTTAACAGATAAAATGTGTAGCGTAATTTTATGATAAAATAGCTTAACTTAGATCGACGACCTATGAAATAAGTCCTTGTAAGGTTTATAAGATCTTATTTCGAAATCTTGCAAGATTTTCTAGAAATGGCTGTACGGTTTCTGTATATATTCACAAGACCAATGCAAGAATTAATAAGATCTTATAGAAATTCATCTGAACATTCAGTCTAATATGACTAACTTTTTTGAGATACAACCAGTCTCCATCAACCGGTCATCTCTATCTCACCCTAGTTTTTGCTTTTTCTCAGGCTTTTAGAGGTTAGTAGACCTTCTCGTTAAGGTGTGCCCTTCCAGTTCCTCTTAGGTTCTTTTTCCTCGCGAGACACTAATCACAAAAGTAACTCATATTCTATCACGTTTTTCTTAGCTTCTCTCCTATCACTTAAATAAGAAAAAACTTGGCTAATTAGTGTCAAACCGGTGAAAGATAATAAGTAACCTAACAACGGCGCTGAAACTGCAAAAAGAAAACTCGCGTCCGCTTTTAGTCGGCTCTCACAAAAAAAATGAGGACCTTTACTCAACGTAACAGAAGAATACTTTAGGCATTATCCTAGTCTAATTTGTCACAAAACTGAGCTATCTTTTTCATTAACGATTATGAAAGGTCTTGCTAAAGGCCAACCGCAGCGCTAGTAGTATCAATGCGTTTTTCTGAAAAAATTAGAAAAACGCATTGATACTAGCGCTGCGGTTGGTAACCCTGGTACCGCATCTAAGGACCTTTCCCCGTTGTGTAGGCTCAGTTAAAAATTTTGATTGCGCAAGATCTTTAAATAAACGTGCACAAAAGTGGTTTAATAAAAAACAGAAGAATGGTCAGAGAAATGGTATATACCTTTAAACCCATCAAAATGCGAGTCAATTACTTTTTCTACGCGATATCATCATAAAGATACATCATCTTTTAAACCGTTGTTATTGAACGGTTCATCTGTCGCAGAAAAAGAAGAAGTAGGATATTTAGGTCTGCTGCTGTCCTTCGACTTAACATGGACAAGTCATATCAACAAGATTCTGTTTCAAATATCTTCTATAGTCGGTATAATGAAATTTTACAAACATACACTATGCCAAAATGTTCTTGAGATTATTTATAAGTCTTGTGTTTTATTGGTTTTAAATTATGGCTCAATAATCTACTCACTGACTGCAGAAACGAATCTCGTTAAGTTAGAAAGTCTACAGTATCAAGCGGCGTTAACTGTCTCAGGAGCTATGAAAGGTACATCGAAAGAGAAGTTATATGAAATATTAGAATGGATTAATGTAAAGAATCACTTTAAAATTTTGCGATCGTTGACTTTCGCAAAAATCATAAAAGGATTAGCACCTCTCTACTTAACTTCCCATCTACAAATTCGTCGACCAAATAGAAGCTACGATTTACGCAACATTCAACAATCCTTCTTTATAGCAGTAAATAGTACAGATAGAGACCTTTTTACTGTTGTTGCGCGAGAATGGAATGACCTTACATTGAATGACACGAATTAAACAACTATGAAAATATCTAAATTACGCGATACTTTAAAAAGTCAGTATATGTCAACGGGTGTTTTTTCTAAAAAGCTAAAGTTCTCTACGCGACGGGAGGAAGTGATCTTCATGCGGTTAAAAGCAAATTTTCCACCGCTAAATTACTATCTCCACCGGCGGAGTTATACAGTTTCACCTAAATGTAATTGCGGAAGCAATAGGGAGGATATCCAGCATTATTTTTTGCACTGTTCCCTATATAATGCTCAACGACAAGATCTTTCACAAAAACTTTCTTTTATGCCTACTTTCTCAGTCGACACCTTGTTACTGAATGGCCTAAATTTTGATCATGATACTTTAACATTTTTACTGAATACAGTCCTCTTGTATATTCAACAAACGAACCGATCTGAATAACTGCAGACAGTAATTTTTATCATATTTATCCTTTCTCTGTCGTCTAACCTGTCTTCTTACGGCTTGTCCACGTAACTCGGTACTTCGCTGATCAAGTTTTTGAAAAAATTATTTTAGGGTAGAACTGAAAGAAGCACGTCACTAGATGTAGTTTTTGATGCTAATTACGAATCTTATATTATTTTTTTTAAAAAGTAAATTTTCGCGGCAAAAATCCAGTTTTACGTTTTTTGAAAACTGTATTTTCAATTTCCTGACCTAGACACCTTTCCTTAAAAAACGGAAGATCTATAACAGATGCCTAGAACTACGTTCGATGTGAAAAGCAAATCCTTTGAGCAATATTTAGTACTCCAAAACTTGTTGGGAGAAACGTGTGTCACAGCGTCACGGCGGTAAAACACAATTATTGAGGGATGGGAAGCTCATCGGAAAATCCTTTTTTAGTAATCAATAGCTTGTTTCCTCCTCTACAAATTTGCTTCGGACGCTTTTTATTAGGTCTTCTAAATTCGGAGCAAATTAGCTTTTACTGAGAAGAACTTCGAATTTAGGGCCTTTTTTTGTCACACGCGTCACGCACCGACAAACGGTTGTAAAAATTCGAGTCTTTAACCAAATACCTTCGTTTTTATATCGAAAGTAGAGTATGGCGAGCTGCGCCGAATGGCGCAAGAATGAAGTTTCTAGCTCATACAGTTTTTGAGAAAAGATCAATTTACTGTGTCAAAAATGTCACAGCGTCACGCTTGGACAAGCCTCTTAGTCTTCCTGTTCTTTTTGGTTTTTTTTTATATTGTTACTCTTTTGCTTTCTTATTCATAATTACCTTTCTGTGAGCACCTACGTACAACATCTCTATTATTGTTAGGTCCATAATGGTCTTTGACCGCCGACCTTTCTTTATCAGAATCAATAAAGATATACGACAACGCGGAGCGAACTTAGTCAATCTGAAAGGACCATTTTTCTCAAACACACATCACAGATTATCGGAAAATTATATTCAACGGTGTAACAAAAGATAACATGAAGATTTTAGAGGGTGGAGCGAATAGTAGAAAGTCAACATTGCTGTGTACTCGCTTTGAACTGTCATGAACTTTTCATTGAAGACGACTTCTTTTCCTTTGTAGATAAAGATTATAGCATAGTGAGAGTGTCAGATGGTCGAAAAAGACTAAAAACTGATTGCATCATGTTCTCGAAGAAAAGTCCGAGTAAAACATTGTGTAATCAAGCCTAAAAAACGAAGCTAGAAAAATTTACAGCGCGGAAAATCGATAATGCATGACTTTCTTAAGGTATGCACATGAATTTTCTTGAGATATGCATAGTATTGGGCCGTAAGAAATTCGAATATAGGGAAACAAGAGAGGTTGTATAACGAAACGAAAGAAAACGAAAAACGTACGAACGGTTACGCACTGTTTTTTCCTTCCTTTTTACGTAATAACGTAAGTGTTAACGTTAAGAAATAACTTTCTGTTAAGCATATCTGCTTCTTAACTATTAAAGCACCTTGAAGAGAAAAAACGTGAAAAAGTAAATGTATAGCATAGGGAGGATAGAATTTCTGTAGTTAGAGACATGTTAGGCTAAACATAACGGTTGCTCATATCAAATAATATGGGCCTTTCTTAAACAATAATCACACTTATATTCATTTGTTTAAGGTTTCTGTCACTGTATTTTCCTTAAACAAGCATAAATACCCTTTTTTGAACTAGAGAAAAAGGTGACGTTGAGGTCGTATCAAAACACACGTTATCGAAGAACAATTCCATAGACAAGCGTTGGAGATAATATTAGTGATAATGTTTTCTATCATAGGATGGCAAGTTCAAACTATGAACTACCAAATCCCCAAAAAAGGAGCTGGATAGTTTAGAGCAGCAAACGTGAAAATTCTCCTCAAAATGCAATCTTTGTGCTTATATCATAGAAAACACCTCCGTCTATGTTCTGCGATGCACAATTATCATTTCCATTCTTTGTCCTCCTAGTGTCGTTTCAATAAAAGTCATTTTATGTTGATTTTTTTAAACTAACGATTATTTATTTATGTGCCCAAAGCATTAAGATTATTCTATTCATTCCGTATTTTAGCGGTGTAATCTTCATTTTGAGCACTCTTCTTCCAAGGTATAATTAGTATCAAAATAGCCCGTTAGAGTTCTTTGCCTTGTCTTACAGTTCACTTCGGACCTCTAGTCCAGGCCCATGCCCAAGTCACAGGTTTAGGCTAGGTCAAGATCCAGGTCTGGAAGCGATAAGTCCATATCATAGGTTCATTTTTCACCAGTTCTGTTCGAGATAGGTCCGGGTTCAGGTCCATCTCTTACTTCCTCGTCTTTTAGAATTAGAGTGAACTGCTTAGAGATTGGTATCTCCCCTTTATTACACTTTATTACACGTCTGGGCCTGGACCAGTCAAGTCATAGGTCCAGGTTCAGGTCTATCGTCTCTGACTACACATCTTGATTTTGTGTTTTGAATGTTAAATTAATTTCTGAATTATAAAGATGTGCAAATATTTGAGAATAAAGGATTTACTGCTCATTTTTACGTTGAGACTTCATAATATCTGTTTTTCTGTTTATTCTTGCCACATGTTCTTTTGTATATTGATAAGGGATACAATGTATTAAACACTCCTTTAGACGAACGAAAAAAAGTAAAAGAAAATTGTCACATGAAGTTATAAGATCAGAAATGAGTATTAACATAACTAATGTAATTAAAACATCAAATAAAACATATATAATTGGTGTTAACGCTCAATATGCCTTGGCTACAAATGGTCAATATCTATTAACTAATGAAAACGACAAGGTATGCTTATATGATAAAGATAATTTGGGTACGGTCACCACATTGACATGGATAAATGGGAATATTATGGATATGTGTTGGTGCTCGACGCTAAATGCTTATTTACTAATAACTCATAGCAAGGCTTATGTTCTGAATATGATAGACAACAAACTAAACAAGATTGAGTCAATAAATAGATCTAATAATACAATTAATTACATTTATCGTTGTGTATGTACTGAAAAAACATTTTTTGTTACTTATTACAAATATGGTACACCAATAGATGAATATGATTTAACATCATCATCATTTTCGCTAATTAAACAATGGAAAACGCCGGAAACATGCAAAGAAGATGATATTATCCTAGATATTCTATATAACAGTCATACAAATCGACTAGGTATTTTGATTGGAGCTCAACAATCTTGTCGTTTAGATATACGTAATTTAACAATGATTGCTATTTGGTCAGTAGATTTATTCCAAATTAAAAGTAATTTTTATTGTCGGTTATCGCTGTTACCAGCTAATGAATGGCTCATTATTGATCCACAAAGTTCGAGTTTCTTTCAAATAACAGCAGATGGTAAACTAAATGCTCATGTTCGAGATAAGAGAGAACCGAGAAATGCGACAATGTTCGGATCGAATTTGTTTGCTATAATCACTAATGATGGGCTCAGCGTACATGATGTCTAATAGCATTATTTGAAAAAGTTCTCAAGGAGCTTTATCATTTCATCTTAGTTTATAAGATATATGAGCATAATATGTTCGAAAGGAAAGGGCAATCTATGAAAACTTTTTTTCTTGTTGCGCATCATATGCTTCTGCGCTAAATAAAAAAATATGTTGACTTTTGATTAAAATTAATCCATATAGTATCGAAATTAAAGAACATACTTCAGAATACTAGACAATACTATTCTAAAAAATCTACTATATCTTGAATTATTCGATGAATTACAAACATCTCTTTACGAACTCGATTTCTAGATAAAGGATTACAAAGTGATAATAAACAAAGAAAAGGTATAATATTTGCAGATGAAATAATACGAATTATTTTCATTGTAATAGTTAACCAAAATCAATTATCCTGTTCTTTTGTTTGTAGAAAATGTCCTTAGAAATGAATGTATCATCAGCACAATGACATGATTCTCTTGCACATGTTAAATAATGTCAGTATTTTGTAGTTTGGATACCTATAATATTTTAGACGCTTATCAATAGAAGGATGCGATGCTTCCTTGATTAAAAGTCTACAGTTATACAAAACTAACGGGTGGCGCATAAATAAACGCACTCCCGTATTTTGAATATAACTCCGCCGGCTTTTATCCTATCGATCCAAATCTTTTTCCAAAAGATTCCTTATTGAA